AACATTTGTGAAATTTAATGTATTAAATTCTGTATGTTATTCTGCTGCATTATGCCATTAAAGAAATTTCAAAATAGACTGACAGAAAATAAATCAAAACCAGAATAACTGAGTGAATTCACAAATACCTTATTTTGGTTGCAATAGTATAAACAGGAAAAAGAACAGCAGCAGTATGTTGTTGTTGAAACAAACTAGAACAAACTAAATATAACATATAACATTAAAACTATGTTATTTTTCAGAAAGGATAGTAAGTAACAAAAGTATATAAAAGAAAAAATAAAGTTCTTTTAAAACAAAAAATAAATTTTCATAAGATACGTAAACCTGATAAAGACTAAGAACTCCAGCTTTGGTCAAAGAGCAATGCCCCAACGGCGAAACCCAGGCAGTACTGAAGATGAGTTAACAGATGGGGAGAAAATAGAGGCATATATATCCATCTCTTTTTGCGATTGTTCTGATCCTTCCAAAGAGAAAGAGTAGAGATTGGACAACTTGAACCACAGAGTGAAGACTAAAAGGCGAAGTAAAAAAGTGGAGAGTGAGGTTTGTGGTCTTTCAAGCTGGTCCTGATACCTCCCCTAGGGTTTAATGCCAGCCATCGTGGAGGCCTTGACAACGCTGGAAGGAAGCCAAGCTGTCTTTCTCTCCTCTCATCGTCTCTCCTCACCTCTGCCCTTCAGGCAGCCAAGGGATTCATTATATCTTCTGACTGTCTTAAATTTCATATAATCCATTCTATACTCATTCCAGTTAAAATGCCACAGACAAGTAAATATTGATGAAATAATCTGTTTTAAAGCAATTCTTAAGTATTAGGAAGACTCAACCCTTTGAAATATAATCACTGCTAAAACTTCTGGTATTTTCTGAGCATCTATTATGTGTCTAAGCACTATGCTAAATGCCTGAGAACAGTGTTTTTGAAAAATCAGTTTAGAGCTCTGGCTGGGGGGCTCAGATGGTTGGTGCATCAACCTGCAGACCAAAAGGTTGAGGTTCGATCCCCAGTCACAGCACATACCTAGGTTGCAGGTTTGATCCCCAGTTGGGGTGCATATGGGATACAGCTGATCATGATAACACTGACATGTCTTTACATGTCATCACTCTGGCATGATCCATCTGTAGCATCTATCTAGCAGTCCTTACAGTCAACACTTAACTGTTGGCTAACAATAAATTACATTAGGTAAGGAGATGGAATCACATTGTTGAGGACTTCTGAAGCCATCCAGAATTGTTTATATTTAATTCAGCAGGCAGTAAGAACCCAGTTCTTGAAGGGAAAAAATGGTATCTCAGGGTGGATCAAAGTGAGGATATGCAAGATGGAATGGAAGGAAACTGGAACAAGGGAATGATACTTTGGTGAAGAATAACTATCAGGCCACTGTAAAAAAGAAGACAAAAGGGCAGGAACATGCTGATAAGAGATTGACTAAAACAGGACACTTTTCTTGTGTGTACACACACACACTTTCTACCCTGAGAAATGTGAAGAATGATAGTGCTGTTAACAAAAGGGAGGTGAAAAAAACTAAGTTTACAGCAGCATTTCGACTGGATAAAATTTTGCTGTTGGGAGGCTGCGCTGTGTGCATTGTTGAATGTTTAGCAGTATCTCTGGCCGCTACTCAGTAGATGCCAGCAGTATCAACCAAAAAAATGTCTTGAGACATTACCAAATATCCCCGGGGGGAAAAAAATTATACCCAAATAAAACCCACCAATTTATAGGAAATTTTGAATAAGTTGAGTGTATGCAAAAGGTAGAAAAATCTAAAGAAAGATGCCTTGGTGTAAATGTAAATATATAATGCCAGATAAACTTTACAGAGAGACAAGACAGATATGTAAAAGCAACTACTAAGACATCAATGTTAATTTTGATAATCCCTATTGTTTTGGAAGATAAAGTATTGACATTGATGTGATAATGTTATCTAGGATATGATTTAAAAGAATCCCATTTTCTTCACTTTCATGTATTTTTTTAAACTTCTGATAAGTTTTTAAAACACAGACATCATTTATACCAGTAACTAAAATCTGGAACTAGAATCATCAAGGAAATTGAGATTTTGTTTCTTTGCAGCTGACAAGATACTTAAAGGGCTCAGAACTTGGGAGGAGAAGAGGGTTCCAGAAGGAGGAAAGAAAACAGACAGAAAACCAGACAAGTGCAATATGGTTAAAACCAAATAAAGTGAGAATTTCAAAGAACTTTTATGAAGTACCTACACTGCTTAAATTTTTAAAAAAGTAAAAGAACGAGCACTCGTTCTGAAGAGGGACAATAGAAACTGGCTTCAATGTGGTAAGTTTAGAATACCTACATCTGTCCTGGCTGGTGTGGCTCAGTGGACTGAGTGCTGGCCTGCAAACCAAAGGGTTGTTGGTTTGATTCCTGGTCAGGACACATGCCAGGGTTGTGGGCCAGGTCCCTGGGGTGGGGGTGAGGGGAGCAGGAGCACATGAGAGGCAACCATGCATTGATGTTTCTCTCCCTTCTTTCTCCCCTGTCTAAAAATAAAGAAAATCTTTAAAAAAAAAAAAAAAAAGAATACCTACATCTATTCAAGGTACAGTGATGGGAGCTACAGGGGATACAAAGAATATACCTCCTAACAAAGTTTCTACCTCTTAAGATGAAAGGTAAGTACACAATGGTAATACGAAGCTAAATCACATAATATAGGCACTAACAAACCATGACAAAATCTACTGATTTTGAGAACCATTCCTAGAAAAAACCGAAAGGTAACTCTTTTCTAGAACAGTTGTCTATCCACATTTATAACCTTAACCCCTTTCCTATATCCTCTCTGTCTTTTACCTCCTTAATTTTTTTAAACAGATGCAAAATAGATGAATAGGGCTTAAATCACAATTTCTGAGCATGGGACTTGCACAGACATATTTTTATAAAGCTCCTCAGGTGAATTCTAATGTGCAGAAAAGACAGAACCACAGACATAAAGAATAGATGTAAACATGTTACTAGAAGCTATGAAATAATATGAAGATGGCCCATATGGAATGTTGGAAGTAATGCTGTGCCAAACTTTGGAAGTAATGGTTAAGAGACAGCTTTCACTTTCTGTCTCTCCAGACACTTGCTCTTGGAACTCAGCTCCCATACAGTGAGAAGTCCAAGCCACATGAAGGGTCTACATGGAGGCACTCCAGCTGACATCTCCAGGTGAACTCACAGCCAACATCAACTGCCTTCCAAGCAAATGAGCCATGGTGGATGTCCAGCCTCGCTGAGCTTTCAGATGACTCTAACCCTAGCTGCTTATCTGACTACAAGTGCATGAAACCCCAAGTGAGAACCAAAAAGCTGAGTCCAGTTAGCCCAGAGAAACAAGACAAAAAAAAACAACAAAACACCCATAGTTTTAAGCCATTTTGTATTGAAATATAATGTTATACAGCAATAGGTAATTAGAATAACCAAGATTTTTTAAATTCTTATTTCTAGTATCAGCAACTCATATTTAATGGGCATTTTTTCCTTTCATCTCCACAAAAGTGTATTTTCATGTATACAAGTTCATAATAAAATATAATACTAGGGGAAAAATCTGATGTGCCAGATTTATTTTCCAATTGCGTTACTTTAGAAAAGACTTTTTCATTGTTTCCCATTACATTCATATTAATAAACAAATGACCATAATCACTAATAAAGTTCAAGTAAATATATATAAAATTAAGGTTAGAAAGATAGCTTTAAAATATTTTTGTCAGTTTTTCTCAGGCATTGTTTTTTGAAAGAAGAGAACACATACCTAAGTGCAATCAATGCATATTTGTCATTAATGACATGTTGTTGTTTACTATTATAAGGTCCTTACTATCTAATTTGAAAGATGCACCTTATGTGTCATAAGGAAAGGAATACACATTTCAAGGCAGTCATATCAATATGATAAAGACACAACAGAACAAGCTACATCACCTTTCACATAAACGGGTCCAGTACTGTGGAGTCATAAGAAAACTACCTAAATCCACCATGAAAGACGTTCAACAATGAATCTAAAACCGAATCTGTTGAAATGCAAAATCTGCTTACATAGCAAAACCATAGAGCAAGCCTAGAACAGGAACACATCCTTAACAAATACCACTTGACATTTTTAACGGCTGTAGCAGAAAACATATAAAACTAGGAATGCTTGAAGATTCAGAAAGAGCAGCATCCTGTAGTGCGGCATTCTTTTCATCTGAAACTCTCAGAACTCTTAACAAATATTAAATTCCTCTGGCTCTGCCAACACCTCCGTCTCCAGGTAAATCTTTTGTTAGTGATTAACTCACTTGCTTCAAGGTCACAGAATGAACTGGCAGCACGAAATAAACCCAGAAATGTAGTCTGCAGTTTTATGCATAAATGAACATCATTGCGATTCAGAGTTCTGATAATTGCCAAGGTGGAGTGGAGGTGAAATTCATTTGTCCCACAACTCGGTAAGAGAGGCCAAATTTTAGGAAAGAAAGGCTTTTTGTTTCGGGGTAAGTCACAGTTTTAACTCTGATGAGCATATAGGTTCTGTAAACTCATACTTGGACTTCACGAAAAGCAAGTTTGGGGCAGGGGAGGGATTAGGAAACACTCTGAGGGTGTGTAGCAAGGCCCAGGATTGTAACTTGATAGAAAAAATAAACCAACAAAACAGTAGTAGGTCAAATTCGGGTCTGAGTATACAAGAAGGGGAAGGAATGGTCAAGGCCACCTTGTGAGACAGAAAAACCTGACTCCACACGAAACTCGCTGAACAACCCTAGGTGGGCAGCGGGAAAGACTAGAGGTTTGGCTCTTCCTCCACTGACAGGTTCTGTGTTCGGGGTGCTCTCACCAGGAGACATGCCCCTCTCCATTGTCAGGGTTAGTCTCCGAGGTGACCAGCAGCTGGTGGGAGAAAAGGGAGTTCACTGCGATGTTGTTCCAGGAAACAAAGGCCAAGACCCAGACCCACACTCACCTTGGTGCCCGGCGCGCTTCACTAATGCCAGCCTCCTCGCCAAAGGCCCATCTTCCACCAACCCCGGGAAGAAACAGCCTTCGCTCCCCCGACGGAAGCCAGCCCAGTCCATCCCCCTTTTCCCAATTTGCACTGCGTTGCACTGCGTCGCGGCTCTGACGTCACGGTGGGTGGGGCTGCGCGAGCGCCCTTGACTGCTTGTTTCTCCCTATCCGGATCCTTGCCAATGAAGCTGGCGAGGAGGGTGGGGGAGGTTGAGAAGGAAGTTTTGGGTGGGCGGAGTGGGCAGGGCCCAGGCTACGCTAAATTGGGGCGACTTCCCAGCTGGTCCCTTCCCTTAGCCGCTGAACCCGGCTTTACTCCTGCAATGCTTGGTCACCCTGGCCTTTCTAGTATCCTTGGCCTTGTCACGGAGGAAGAGCTGCTTTTGTGTCTCCTGGTTACGTGCCTTCCTCCTCAGCTCTGAGAATCAGGGGAAAAGACTTTGAATCCTCTCAAATACTGGCGAAAAGTTATCATTTTTTGAAGGCAAAGTTCTGGTCAAAGAAGAAAGAACATGATCCTAAAACACATTATATATAGACGCTTAATGCCAGTTAAAGGCCCAAACTTAACAAAAACAAATCGAGAGGTCTGAACTTTTCTCACGAGGTGATCTTTGTATTCTTGTAAGGAAAGATGACAGGCTGCTCCAGTTACGTGACAACCCGAAGCTGCTTGGACTGGACGGGGTTGCTGTCCATGGTTTCTAAGTCACCAGGGACAGTCTAGGTGTCTCATGGATGGGAAAGCTCGGAGGTGAGGTCTAATACATGCCCTAAATGAAAGTGTGTGTCAGGGGTTCAATAAAATTATACAATGAAAGCACCTAGTCCAGTAGTACTTCATGTACAGTAATCACAGTAAATGTTAATTTCCTTTCCATCACAATGAAATAGTTGCAAAAATACTTTTTATACCTCAGCTATATAGTTTCCCAAAAGAGTTAAGTCTGATAGTAATATCAAATATATCGTACTGCCTGGAACTACAAACTAGGAAGCCTTAGCAAATTTTTCATAACCAAGGGGGAAAATGCATCCATCTAGTTGGTGGGGGATTTTTTTTCTGCTAAGCACCTTGATGAATTTGAATATACAAAGATAACCCCAGAGCTGAGTTTGAAGTGGGAACCAAACAAAAAAAGGGAGAATTTGGAGTTATTTGAGGACAATCTTAGGGACAGGATGCAAGGAATGTGAGGTGATAGAAGCCACAACAATGAATTAACCAATGAGAAGGATCGCCTATGGTGGGATGGCAGAAAGGTTTTAGTAAATAGTACTCTTTAACATTTACCTAAAGTTACTTTTGTTGCTCTGAGGTAATTTTCACAATCCCTCCTCCTCAATAAGTGAAATTCCTCCACTTCCCTAAAGTATCAGTCAGGTTGGCTAAAACCCAAGTCATTCGCTGGAGGGTTTTCTTTTTTTATTTTTTTAGATGAAGGAGTTCCACATTGGGACAACAGGTGCATAAGAGACACCAGGCACAAGATGAAAAGATGATTTCCCAAATCGAACTAAAGTGCTGAAAGCAGAAAAAACAAAGTCATTTTTAGAAAATTCAAAGAAATCTGGGGACTGGCTTTAGATCTTTCAAAATTAGTGGAATAAGTTTTTAAGAAGCAGGGTTACCTGGATGAAATTAACTTACTGAATTGCACCATAAACCCTAGCTCTTTTTCAAATGTGTGTTGTAACAAACCAGGCAGCAGCATCTATGGTACCTGCAATCTGATAGTCACTACCTGCGTAGAAGATGTGGGCTGTATTTGATCATAGTTTTAATTCCTGTGCCATCCAAAACTTAATGAACATGGTTCATCCTCCATCCATTCAACAAATATTTACTGAATGTGTGTTCTAATCCAGGCATTGTTTTAGAATTGGAACATAAAATCTCAACACAGAGCTGACTTACACTCTAGTGATGGGGAGACATATAAGAGCTGACTTACACTCTAGTGATGGGGAGACATATAATAAATAATATGCTATGTTAGGTGCTGTTGAATGCTAAGAAGAAAAGTAAAACAGAACAAAGGGCCAACAAAGGCCATGGTATTTTTGATGGGATGGTCAAGGATGAGCTCTATGACAGAGACATTTCCACAGAGCTTTTGGTAAAGGAAGGGAGGAAGCTGCAGATACATGTGGGAGAGGAACCTCCAGGAAATGGGAACAGCACAGGTGAAGGCAGTGGGGCAGGAAAAGGGGGTGTGCTGGAGGAACAGCAAAAAGGACTCTATGACTAGCGTAAAGTGAGTGAGTAGGATCATAATAGGAGATGATCTCAGAGAAGTGGGGAAGGAATGGAGCTCAGAATATATAGGCCTTGTAAGTCAGTAAAACATGTTTATCCTAGAATAATGCAAGAAGTGAGTTACATGATAATATCTTATGAAAAAAATTACTTTCACATTTATGACAAAATTTGTTATGTACAAATGCCCATCCCAATATTTTTAAAGCCAAAATACACCTCCTGTGGTTCTTTTAATAATCACATATTCTTTTATATTCATCTGGTTTTTATTTCTTAAAATTATAACAATTACCAGATCGGGCCAGTTGCATGGCCCATCAAACATTTTATCTCTAAGGGATACATCGCCAGACAAGGGATGGCAAGTCTTGGCTCTTCTGATATCAACTTCAAAGTTTAGGCATTCACCACTCTTTGCAATTCACTGAGACTCTATTAGCTATTGGTTTATCTTAAGCTGGAAAAAATCTACTATATCACCACTTAGGTTGATTCAAGTTCTATATTTTTTACATGAACTTATACTTCTACATAATTGGCCTAAACTTACCTCAGTAAAGTTTTAGAAATGCACCCTCATTGTATGATTTCAAAATTTAGTGAATAACTATGCTCACCTTTTTCATCCCTTTATGATTTTACAGATTTAGGTCTTCTTTCTGCCTTTGTTTTTCTATGTAAACTAAGAGTTTTAACATGGTTATTATGTGATTCAATGGTTCCCCATTCAGGATATTACTTTGTGTTCTGGATTTTCCCTGCTTCTATTAGATGATCCTCACAAATGCTAGTCAAATACAGTATTATAATATTACAAATGGTGATGCACAATATTACAAGGGGTGATGAACATTTATTTTAACAAGAGAAAGTTTTCAGTGTTTGATCCTATTACAAAATTTTCGTCTACTTGATTTGAGGTCACTGAAGGATTACTTAAACTTTGTAAGAACTATCTCTGATGCCCTGACCAGCATGGCTCAGTTGGTTGGGCATCATCTCACAAAGTGAAAGGTCTCTGGATTGATTCCTAGTCGGGGCACATGCCTGGGTTGGGGGGGTGGCCCCTAGTCAGGGTATGTGTGAGAGGCAGCCAATTGATGTTTCTCTCTCATATCAGTATTTCTCTCCCTTTTTTCCTCCCTCCCTTCCCCTCTCTCTACAAATAAAATGTTTTTTAAAAATTGTCTCTGCAATTTTGTCATACTAACATTAACTGGCAGAGAGAGAGAGAGAGAGAGAGAGAGAGAGAGAGACAGAGAGAGAGAATACCATTCAATAGCCATAAGAACTGTTGAGGACTTCTGGCCAAGATGGAGATGTAGGTAGATACACTTTGTCTCCTCACACAACGAAAAGAAAGACAACAATAAATTTAAAAACAAAAAATTAACAGAACTGCCAGAAAATTGAACTGTATGGAAATATGACAACCAAGGAGTTAAAGAAGAAACATTCATCCAGACTGGTAGGAGGGGCAGAGATGGGCAGCCGGGGCAGAGAGGCTATGTAGCAAGGTGATGGCTGAAGGGCCGGGCGCTCCCACATTTGTGTGTGGATAAAACAGAGGAACAGCTGGGGAGTGAGACAGACCACCCAATCCAGGGTTCCAGTGTAGGAAAAGAAAGCCTCAAAACCTCTAGAGGTAAAAACCTGTGGTGGTGCAGTGGCAGGAGAAACTCCCAGCCTCACAGGAGAGTCTGTTGGAAAGACCATGGGGTCCTAGAATGTACACAAACCCACCCAGCTGAGAATCAGCACTAGAAGGGCCCAATTTGCTTGTGGGTAGCAGCGGAAGTGACTGAAAGCTGGTGGAGAGCCAAGCAAGCAGCATTGTTTCCTCTCAGACCCCTCCCCGCCACACACAGTATCACAACTCAGCAACTGGATAGCCCCACACTGGTGAATACCTAAGGCTCCGCCCCTTCCAATGTAACAGGCATGCTGAGACATAGAAATAGGGCCCAAATGAAAGAACAGATCAAAGCTCCAAAAATAGAACTGAGCAATAAACAGATAGCCAACCTATCAGATACATAGTTCAAAACACTAGTAATCAGGATGCTCACTGAATTGGTTGAGTATGGTTGCAAAATGGAGGAAAAAGTGAAGGCTATGCAAAGTGAAACAAGGAAAAATATACAAGGAACTAACAGTAAACGGAAGGAAACCAGGACTCAAATCAATGATTTGGAGCAAAAGGAAGAGATAAACATTCAACCAAAACAGAACGAAGAAATAAGAATTCAAAAGAATGAGGAGAGGCTTAAGAGCCTCTGGGACAACTTTAGAAGTTCCAACATCTGAACTATATTGATGCCAGAAGGAGAAGAGGAAGAGAAAGAAATTGAAAATTTACTTGAAAAAATAATAAAAGAGAACTTCCCTAATCTGGCCAAGGAAATAGACTTCCAGGAGAATCAGGAAGCTCTGAGTCCCAAAACAGTTGGTCCCAAGGAAGCACACACCAAAGCACATCATAATTAAGTCACCCAAGATTAAAGATAAGGAAAGAATCTTAAAAGCAGCAAGAGAAAAGGAGACAGTTACCTATAAAATAGTTCCTATAAACTGTCAGCTGATTTCTCAAAAGAAACCTTGCAGGCAAGATGGGGCTGGCAAGAAGTATTCAGTCACAAAAAGCAAGGACCTACATCTAAGATTACCCTATCTAGCAAGGCTATCATTTAGAATGAAAGGGCAGATAAAGTGCTTCCCGATAAGGTAAAGTTAAAGGAGTTCATCATCTCCAAACCCTTATTATATGAAATGTTAAAGGGAGTTATCTAAGAAAAAAAAGATAAAAAACT